ACCTGTCACATCTATACAGATCGCTGGATGACATAGATAACAGGGGTAGGCGTAATAATTTACACATTAAAGGTCTCCTCGAACAAGACCAAGAAAATTTAACAGCTACACTAACTGAACTGTTCAACCTGATTTTAGGAAGAGCCCCAAATGAACAGGTGCTGCTAGATAGGGCACAAAGAGCCCTAAGGCCCAGAGGAATGGCTCCCGACTCATCTAGCGATGTCATTTGCCAAATACACTACTTCTCCTTGAAGGAGGAGATCCTCTAAGCATTACGGCACACATTACAGCCATTGTTGTTCTATAATGCCTCCATCCAGATTTACCCGGATCTATCTTGGGCCACAGTCCAAGCAAGGCGGGTGTTAAGGCCTATCACCAACCAACAATGATCAAGAAATCTCAGATACAGATGAAGATTTCCCTTTACTTTAATCACAACTCACAATAGCATTTCACACTCTCTAGCATCCGTACAAGATGTACTTTTCTTCGCCCAGGCTCTGGACTTACCGGTCACACACACTGATTGGTACGGCCTGTCCATACAACCACAACAATCCTGTCTCCATTAACACCCTCGCTGGCAAACACCTTCCAAGAGACAGCGGAATGACCAAAGTGATGCACCGCCAAGTTCGAGATCGCCGAGAGGCGCCTACTCTTCTACTTAAAGGACCACTATAGGCACCCAGACCAATTCAGCTCAAAGAAGTGGTCTGAGTGCCAGGTCCATCTAGGGTTAACCCTGAAGCTGTAAACATAGAAGTTTCAGAGAAACTGCTATGTTTACAATAGGGTTAATCCAGCCTCTAGTGGCTGTCTCATTGACAGCCGCTAGAGGCGCTTCCGTGATTCTCACTGTGAAAATCACAGTGAGAAGTTGCTGGCGTCCATAGGAAAGCATTGAGAAATGCTTTCCTATGGACTGATTGAATGCGCGCGCAGCTCTCAACGCCACATGCGCCTTCGGCGGATGACGTCGGAAGAGGGAGGACAGTCCCCAGCGCCGGGGGAGCCCGGTGCTGGAGAAAGGTAAGAATTTAACTATTAACACTATAGTGCCAGGAAAATGAGTTTGTTTTCCTGGCACTAGATTGGTCCTAAACTGTTCCAACCTACATGAGCGGGTCTCCTTCACCAGTGAACATATCCACACAGACGAACTTCCACGCTTGACATACGCGTAGTCATCCCTTAGGCAAATTCCTAATAAACCCAACATTAAACCACCCACCAATTAAACATGGACACCAATATTTCTTGGGAAAATATCACAGCTTTTATTAATCATATTGTTTACGCATAAAATGTAAATAAGCGGTCAAAGTCAAACACACTTAAAGACATTGACGCCCTACAAATTTAAATATAAACAGTTACAGACAATGACCCCCACCAATGACCCCCACATAAATGACAGCAATCTTAAAACAATATCTATCATAAAACACAAACAGTTACCACAGCCACCAAGGGCATCTTTAACCACCTGTAGGAGTATACCGAGATACCCCTATACACCCAGGTTCAGAGCTACCGACGAGCTCGAACCTACCAAACCAATGCAAACATAACTATTGCTCCTGAACTTGAACTTCCCCCACTTACCAAGCCAACCTACCCCCAATTATCCTATCCATCCCCCGCCACAGCACAGAGCTTGACCGCCTCAAGCTACCTGAGCGCCCCCCATCCGCCTATACAGAGCCTGCCTCAATCCTTCCTGAAAGCCCAAATTCAAGAAGTCTGTGCCCACCTCATATAGATGTACCCCATCATACCGAAAATAGCTAGGAAGCATAGCTTCCAATTCCATGTGCCTAACTATCATACCCCCTAATCTCTTAATGTAAACCGCCATTGACTGATTGATCTTAATGCGACATGTAGCTATCGCCGCAGGGTCTCTATCAAAACACCAATGCATTCACGAGAAAAAAATATATATATATTAAGTGCTGTTACAAATTTTATTTGCAATTTCAGTCAGAGTGTTCTGATTGATTGGTTTATAAGCCAAACAGGCAAGTTTCATTTATCTCAAGACTTGCGTGCAAATTTGGGGGACTTCTACCGGGTCTCCTGTACATTACTAGCGACTGGGCAGCAATATATTTAAGGGCTCAGATGGCTGAAATTCTGTTGTCACAGCATGACTCAACTGTTTATTCAATAAACTGAAAATAGTGAAAAATTGACACGGAAAAAAAATTATTTCAATCCAAAAGAATTCATCAAATTCGTCCATTATAGCCTAGGAAAATGTATCTACAACACTACCCAAAGCTCTTCAGCACTTAACAGGTGCCCCTCTATAGCACACTCCCAAAATGCACAACTCACACTTTAGCTCAACATAAACACATTTAGAAGCCACTCCAGGCAACAATTTAACTTTTATACCTTTTATAGTTTTTGGTTTAATGATTAGCTTAATGCTTTAAAGTTGTTTTTTTTTGTTTTTTTTTTTAAACTGAAGTTTTATAGCATTCTGCATTTTAACAAATGGTCTCTTTGTCTAACCTTCACATTCTAAAAAGGAATAAAACATTCTCCCTGGTTCCTCTATGTCTGCCCATCCTTTCAAACAGACAGTGAACAAACAGTTCATGTAACAGATTTCACAAATAGAAAAAAACCTTCTCTTGACAGCTTTGATTTCTGTTAACCAGCCTCCTCACCTCCATCCAACCGCGACACCATTTTTTGTACTGGGTTAATAATGCCAAAAAGTTTCATACACTATAGACCAGAATAAAAGACTCCTGGTTGGCCAAGCTACTTCCTAGAATGTGCAAAGCTCAAGATTGATGATGTAATGTGAGGGACGTGGGAAAAGTTCCTGTGGACTAGTATTAAAGGGAAACTATAGTGCCAGGAAAACAACGTTGTTTACCTGGCTCTATAGCTCCCTATATAGTGCCCCCCAACCTTGCACCCCTCCCGCCCCAACCTCGCACCCTCCATGCCCCCCGTGGTGGAGAAGGGATTTTAAAAAACTCTTCTGCTACTTACTTGATTCCAGTGCCTAATCCCTCAGCACTGGGTCAGACTCCGCTCTTCCACCACCATCATCAGCCAGCGTGGGGATCTAATGCGCATGTGCAGCATTTAAATAAAAAACACCTTATAAATGAAATTTATAATTTATGAAATGACGAATACCCTATATTTTGCATATCCGTTGATGGATTATCTCTACATTGCATTAGAAAAAGCAATGGATTTTTTTCCAGCCCTACGTGGCCCTTTTTATAAGGGATACATACTGCACTCCGAACCGAGGTAACCTTGCGATATGTGTTTTTATCTTTTCATAAGCTGCTTTTATTAGTGTGTTGCTAAGGCAACCTCATTACACAATAACTAAACCTATAAATATCAGACGGTAGCGTAGGGTGGAAGAAGCGGGAAGGAACTGGAATGCCTCTGTTTACATGAAGTCATCACTATGTAGTGACTCACTGAGTGTAATTCAAACACAAAAATGGAACCTCCTTTCCCAGCCTTCAAAGGAAACTGCACAGGAAGAGACACCTAAATGGAGAGAGACACCAGGAGACCTGACAAAATATCTCTCTCACAGCTTATCGCCAAATAACAGTTGCCCAGCAAGATCGTTTATTTTGTAGCTCTTGTCATTAAGTAGAGGCAAGGGAAATATGTTTTACTGTTAATTAGGACATGTTGGCAAGATGCCCCTAGCTGGCTGGTATTAACAAATCACCCACTCATTTGCAGGGTTAATAATATATGGAGAGGGGTGCCAGACAGAATGCAGACTATCCCCAGCCATCAGCGCCTGACAGCACAGTAATGTAGCACAGAGCAGGAGGAGGCTGCAATGTTCCTGGGAGATTGACTGGGGCGATGGGTAAATCTAGACGCATCTAAAGGAAGTCTCTTGTAAGTAAAGCCTTGGCAAGCCTGGCATGCGTTGGGCAGCAGACAAGCTCAGGGAATTTGGGAAGCCACGTAACAACCATGCCTGGACCAACTTACACGTTGGTCTAGAGAAGCTTTATGATTCTGGAACGGGCACGTTAAAAGACATCATAAATTTTTTTATTGTAAAATAGTTTAATGCAATTTCATGTATATGCACGGCTCTTAATAGGTTACTTAAACCATCATGATGGCTATGTGTACCAGAAAAAAACCATGTAAAATAGGCGCTAACCAAATGTCTAAAATAAGTCTTTATAAATATAAGTGTTAAAAAATCAGCCTAGCTGGGATAGCCCTCCGGGGTCATAGTGTGGCTCTACAAGAGTATTGCAGGTTAGTAGAGGCTGGCTAGGGGGTAGCATTACCCCAAAGCTTTGAGATTAACTGGCTATGGTCTCGGAATTGGGGGTATTACCTAGGGTTGTAGCAGAGACCATGCCGCTATCGGCCTGTAGTTCTAAACAAGAGCCGTGGCATTCAGTGACCACATTTAGGTATTAACATATTTTTACCAGTAGCAATACATGGTTAAGTAAGCGTATTTTGCACATGCGTGAGCAGATAATAGGTGGCGTGTAGGACTCAACTTGTGCTAGTCCTGGTTAAAGCGTGGAGGGTATTATAATGCTGTGCTTTGGGCCTGGTTAAATACAATAGCGAAACAGCTGTTTAGAGCTTTGTAGCCCGCTTTAGTTATTTTTTGCTCCTAGCAGCGTTAGGAGTAAACTGCTATTCAGATGGGGGAGCTTTAATTAAGCCATCCTGAAGGTGTTAACCTCTGGGTTTATATCATACCTCATCTCTGTTGGGTGGGTATCTTCGGCAGTTGTTATGGTTACATGCTAATGATATACAGTGACTATGAATTAGTACACAGTGAAAACATAATCTTTCGATAGCCTCCCCTATGTGTAGGTCATCGGAGTGTGTCATGCTCGTAAGGCACTGTCTAGGAGGTAAAAAGAAGGTCCACATGGAAAACCATGTGGTTGAGTGTGGTGGCCATTATAGCATAAGTTTAAAAGTCAAAGAAAGTAAGTACAGTTTTAGCCAGTTGGGGCCGTTTTAGCTCCTCGCTGCCGGTCCTTGTTAGGGGTGAAGGGTTGTATCTTCTCCACATACCGGCGATGTACCTTTGATGGGGGCTGTTTTGGTTGTTCTGTCAGGGAGAGGCCCAGTGCTTGCAGGAAGGTTTGGGATTCAGTGATGCGGTGCAGCGTTCCTTCATTGGTGACTTGAAGTGAGCGGGGATTGCCCCATCTGTAGGGGATTCCATTCTTCTGTAGGATGCTGGTAACGGGGCACATGGAGTGTTTCCACATTGGGGTGGCCCGAGAGAGGTCAGAGTAGAAGGTGAGTGTGTGCGATTCGAATCCGCAGCCAGTATTGCCATTTTGTCCAGAGAGGACACGAATTGGACTATGAGGTCCGTTGAGGGTATTTCCTGGCTATTTGTTGGTTTGGGTAGGCGGTAGCAGCCATTTAGTAAGATGGCTTTTGCTTGTTTGGGTGGGAGCAGGTGGTAAAACAGGTGGTGTACATATTGGGGTAGCTCTGCCATGGCCACCTCTTCTGGCACTCCCCTGAGCTTGATGTTATTTCATCGGCTTTTGAACTCCAGGTCGGCCATCTTCGCAGCCAGACATCCTGGCCCTGTCTAGTTTTGACCTGAGCCTCTTGCATAGCGTGGTGGAGTAGGCCTGAGACCTCTTCCTCTGTCAGCTTGACTCTGCCTGTGAGGGAGTGCACATCTTCCCGAACTATTTCCAGGTCTGCCTGGAATAGGGAATAATGTCCTTTAACAGTGACTTAATCTCCCTTTAGGTACCTGGCGTATCATCTTCCTCCTCCGAGGATGTGTGGTGTAAACCTCCTCTCTGGGGTAGCTAATTGAGGGTATCCAGTGAAGGCTCCTCATCGGAGGAAGTCTCCACGGCAGCGTCGGCCATCTTGGGTGCTTCACGCGGCGCCCCCTGGAGCAGTAATTCTCCGATATCTTGAGAGCAACATCCTGGGTTGTTTTGTCTCTTTTGTGAGCCTTTCCCCATTGTGTGACACGTAATTGGGAGCTTTTGTAGTCGGTGTCACCGATGTTTGTGAGCTGTAAAGCTGGTTTTTGTGCGGTTTGTGCTGAACACGTTTTCTCAGGCGGCTTGTAGCTCTGCTCCTCCCCCCGCTAAGAGGCTTTTAACTGGGAAGATTGTGAAATACAGTAACTGTTGCCATCACCTGGTTCCTGCTTATGGAGATTTTTATACGATTACAGCTAGAGCCGACTTTTCTGCTATTGACTTGTGAGTGGGATTCTCTCTGTATACATTAAATAGATATTACCCTATTGTATTACACTACATATGTTTTCTTCCTTTGAACGTTGGAGAGAAATATCTACTATTAAGTTGCGAATATTGTAAGTGTTCTTTTATTTTATGGTGAGCAGTAATGGTTTTACACCTCATTTAAGACATCACTATTTTACACGGATGTTACATTGCACAATACAATTTTGTATTTCACTTTGATTGCACTTTATGAAAAATATTTATATTGTCTTAAAGACACAGCGCACTTTTTTTTTATCCTGATGGCTGCAGCCCACCCTGTTTTCCAGCAAACATTTTTTTTCTTCAATGGTTTGCCCTCTTACCTGGGTGCCCGCCAGGCGCTGATGGTCTTCTGTTGCCAGTGGGATCGGTATCCAGCTTTTGCAGCTCTGTAGAAGCTGGATGACAATCCCGTCGGCCATTCATTGTCTGAAAGCGTCAGCCAATTAGAGCGTCAGCTGACTCTGTCCATAGAAATATGCACAGAATTAAAATTAGCTAGCTATATATTAGAAAAAGTAGGGAATGCTTTTCTTTATGTATAAGCTGCAGATTGAGAAAAGTTGACAAAGGGGGTCAAGCTCTACTGCCTTTGTCATCGCCCCATGTCCCATCCTGTTGCACCGTCTCAGTGCTCTCAATGATGACTGTCGCACATGTCCAATGTACTACGGGCAATGACTGACATCTGGGCACCGCCATCTTAACAAAATGAAAGATGAAAGTGCCAAGGAATAAGACTCGGAGGGACCGGCGATCTGTTAGAAATGGTAAGTAAAGCCACTCCCCGGGTCTTAAAATACCTGGGGGGCATCAGGGAGCACAGATATTTTCAGCCTAACGATCCATTGGGTGACAGATTCACTCCAAACACACAGAAAGACAGTATAGCTGTTTATCAACAAATACTCAATTCTGCATTTCCTGTCTAGCTTCCTTCATATAATACCTTTCTATTCTGCTTTTAAGTCATATTAGGTGGAATGTCTGAGGAACAGATTAACTCACTAGCTGGGTTATTCAATAAAGTGAGAATTCAAAGTGAATTTCAAATTTAAGACCAGAGTAGTTGAACAGAAGTAGAAGCAAAGAATTTTTCCAGTTTGGCTGTTTTGACCTTACATTTTAAATTCACTTTGAATTCTCACTTTTGTGAATAACCCTTTAACTGCGAATTGTCAGGAAGTCAAATTCCAGCGGAGATAAACTAATTATAAAATCAGCTATTTTTACAGTTTGCCTGTTTTGACCAATAATTGGAAATATACTGTGAATTCCTGGCTAGTCACACTTTTATAGAATCCCCCTTTTAGTGTGTTCTAGGGCCTCTGAACAGAGCATCCCCCATCACCCCCTGCAGAGCTGTGTCATTGATATTCAAATGGAACATATCTGTAATCATTAAGTAAAACCCTGGGATAAGCAATGTATTTAACCCTTTCACTGCAGGACTTGTTCGTACATGATATTCAGTGTACAAACCAATACCAAAGAATCGTGTACAAATCACATTTAAAATTGTAAGCAAAAACTGTTTAATGCAAACTAATTTAATTTGCAATTTGTCCCCGTTGAGGTCCCAGAGAGCAGGGCCTGTGCCAGGTCTGCTGTGACCCCCTGATCTATGGATCTTATTGCCAGACTCTGCGCTGCTCACATAGCTGCCGATTCTCCCTCCCAGTCAGAGAGCAGGTGGGAGCATTCAGAGGGGTCTGCACTAGAGGGGAGGTATTTAGTCTACCAACTAGACCACCAGGTAAATCAATAATTGCCCCCCCAGAGTGGGCACACAACACAAACAAACAAACAAATAAAATAAAAAACAGATTGGTAGTGAAATGGTTAATGCGTGTTTCAGCACCCCATCCTTATTTCCATCATAAAATTACTGAATCTCCCGTGTCTATTGAAAAGTACTAGAAATGAAATAAATTAATATGTATGTTGACTTCCTCCTAAAAGCTAGTAGTAATTCAGTCAGGCTTATTCAACTGCTAATAAATTTTACCTGCTCTCAGGGAGAACCTTTTATTAGTGCTCAAAATGTCTACTCACCACTTACAGTGGCAAGCAGTGGTGTATTCTGGTTTTGTGCTGTCCTAGGCATGACAAAACTCAGGTCCCCCCCCCACACTTCCCTCTCCAAATTTCTCTTCCTGACAGACACACGCCCTCACTGATGCATGCATTGACATACACTCACTTACAGATACACAGTCATTGTCACACACACTATTTAAGTAACACACACTTTCACTGAAGCATACAAATTCACATACATACAAACTCACTCATTCACAGTTACACACACACTCACATTCACCGACAGACACACAAATACACTAACTGACAGACATATACACACTCACTGACAAGACACACATGCATACTCACTGACAGACACACATTTACTCCGTGTCACACACACAGTGGGACACACATACACACTCACTGACAGACATATATACACTCAGTGTCAGAGACACATATACATTCACTAACAGACATATATACACTCAGTGTCAGACACACACATTCACTGACAGACACACACTGACAGATATACACACACACTGACAAACACATATACACTCTCATTGACAAACACATATACACTCTCAGTGACATACACACACACACTCTTTGACAGACACACACTAACACTCACTAACAGACACACACACTCAATAACAGACACACACTCTCGCTAACAGGCACACACTCTCGCTAACAGGCACACACACACACTCACTAACAGACACACACTAACACTCACTAACAAACACACTCTCACTAACAGACACACACTAGCACTCACTGACACACACACTCTCACTAACAGATACACACTGACACTCAATAACAGATACACTAACACACACTAACATAAACACTCACTAAAACACTCACAGTTTTTTTTTTGCTTAGATTTTGGAATCATTTTAGTGGATTCTTACCTGGGGTCCAGTGGGGCTAGTAGGGCAATGCAGGTCATATGGCAGGCAGTCGGAGAGGCAGGTGCACAGTTCAGGCGAGAAGCTTTGATCCTCCTGTTGAGCTCCCTCGCGGGCCTCTCAGTGAAGCCGGGGCCTGGAAAGACATCAAATTCCGTCTCCGGCATCACTGCGGTGCGCACGAGGGAGTAGGGAGATCTCAGGGGAGATTGCTCCCTCGCCACCAGCCTCCTTTACAAGTAGGTGCCAGCCTCAGGGGTGCTCTGAGGTGGCCAGCCGGCCAGCTCCTAGGCCCCCCAGAACAAGAGGCTGGCAAGGCATTTGCCAGGGCATTTGGGGGCGGCTTTTTTTGCCACACCCCTTAAAATGCCACCCAAGGAAAATGCCTTCTCAGCCTCGCGCTAAATACAGCGCTGGTGGCAAGTAACTTTTGGGCCTGGCTAAGGCCTACCTATTAATGCAGGAGCTGATATTTTGTACTCTGCTTTTATGATATGTGTCATAGCATGAAGAAGTAAAATAATATAATTATGCTATTAATATAGCATATATAATTAGCTTTATTAAGTAGTTTTGGTATATATAACACGCCCCTGTAGTCTCACTGCTCAACTCTCTGCCATTTAGAATTAAATTACTTTGTTTATGCCGCCCTTGTCACACCTCCCTGCATGTGACTTATACAGCCTTCCTAAACACTTCCTGTAAAGAGTCATCTAGTCTTTACACTTCCTTTATTGCACATTCTGTTAAATTTAGAATTTGGATCTGTTGTTAATAGCTTGCTTGACCATGCAGGAGCCTCCTGTGTGTGATTCAAGTTCAATTTACAGAGCAGGAGATAAAAACTTTTAAGGTATTTTACATCTGATTGAAAATTAAACTATTTTGTTTTCAGGCATTCTGTGTCAGTCACAGCCAGGGGAGGTGTGGCTAGGGCTGCATAAACAGAAACAAATGTAATTTACCTCCTAAATGGCACATAACTGCTTCGTTAAGCTAAAGTTGTTTTGGTGACTATAGTATCAAACACACTATTAGTGT